CGGGAACGTACTCTTCCTCATCGTCATTGTCGTCGTCGTCGTCTTCCTCCGTCTGGTCATCTTCGTGGTCGTTGTCTTCGTCGCTGGTGAGTCCAAAATCCGAAGGGCGAGGTGGCGCTGCAATTTGGTTATGGTCGAGGTCGAGTGATTCGAAGGGAGTCGTGGCCATTGCGAGAGAAGAGAAACCAAGTCAGGACACTGAGTGCCCCCAAACCTAAAACGACGCCAAATAAGAGACCATTTAAATGCGGGGAACTCAAAACGGAGGCGCGCAAAATTAAATAGAAAATAAAAGTATTGTATTGATACTTGATAGTATAAATCAAGTTCTCACTGTATAAAGTATAAACACATATCATCATGTTAGTAAATTTATTAATTTTCTTATTGATTAACAACGGTAAAATAATTTAGACCCCGTGCTTAATTATTAAATCCATAACTAAAATGTTTCCGAATCAACGAGGCGTTATATTTTTTTGTCGATAATAATTGAGACGTTTTCATCATTGATTGCCAATAAAATCAATTAAAATATTAGCTTCGATTATTAATTAATTTATAATAATGGTCGTCATAATTTATAGGTATGTAACTACTAATAAATTTTTAATTTAAACATATTATAAAGATGATACATTTTAGCGATCACTTTTTTTTTCACCTTTAATAAGATACTTTTACTTGGACATATTTAAAATTGCTAACTCATAATAATAATAAAATAAATCACTCACTCACATATTTATATGATTATCTTTTTTCAAGTCTTTCTTTTTCTACAACTATAATCTCTTAAAAATAAATGTAAAAAAGTACGAAATGTTTCTTTCTGTATTAGTTATTAATAAAGAAAATAGTTTTTTTTTTTTTTATGTTTTAAAAACAACAGCTAAAGGTACGAAATATTTTATTTTGTTCAAAATTTTCTTCCACTTTTAATTATTTATTATTAAAAAAATAAAGTATTTCGTATCTCTAGTTATTGTTTAAAAAAAACATAGTATCTCTGGTTGTTCAACCTGTAAACAATTAATACACTGATCTTGTTAATCTCTAAGGTAGATGTCCCTTTAGAACTAAGAACTTCCGACTCATTAGCTTGTATAATGTGTTTTAGTAGCTTATTTGAAAGGTGCTAGTGAATAGGCTAAAAACCGTTTCTCCTCGAGAAAGTTAGCCCCCTACAAAGCAGTTTTATTATGATAGAAGTGCAAACGATAATGTTATTGTTTTCTAGGAGGTTATTCACTCTATTTGGCTTAATAAGAGAAAAATAAGGGGAAACAATTTTTAAATTAGATCTTAAGAAAACATGACCGGGTGGATTGGAATTTTCTGAAGCAAACTCTTAGGTTTTTCTGATTTCCAAAAGTGATCATAATAAGTGTCTATTTTACCTATAAATTATAACCTTTTTGACATCTATCTAATTAAGTTTACAAGAAAAAAGTGTTTTACCCTTTAAAATATTGTAAAAATCAAATAATGTATAATTAGGTTAGCTTTAAAATATTGTAAAAATCAAATAATGTATAATTAGGTTAGTTTGTAAAGAGTTGATAGAGTTGATAGATTTTATATTGAGTTAATCACCTATACACTGTCAGTGTAAAAATTTTACACTGACAACCAATCATATCTTTTAATATTGATATGTCAATTGTTTATTTAATAAAATAATAATAAAATAAACAACTTTAAAATATATGATTAGTTATCAGTATAAAAAACTTTACACTAACAATGTATGAATGATTATCTCTTTTATATTTATGCACCCTTGTGTTTTCATGAAGATTTGATCAAGTTCCAAGTCCCCCTAAAATCTTATGGATTTGCTCAGCCAATCATAAATGGGCTCGGCGAATCATAGCCAGAGATGATTATAAACATAAATTTTTGCAATTTTCAAAACATAAATATATAAATTATAAAACCATATAAAACATAACATGAATAATAAAATAGAAATAGCTAAAAATTATCATCAATATACAAGTATATTCATCCAAATACAAGTAATAAAATTATATAAATAATCCATACTGTATTAAAAATTCATCTAGTCTTCTAAGTTAATATAATTTAATAACATCGAGGAAATAATTTGAAGGAATTTTCAATACTTTAGAGGTAATGTAACATGATTCTAACACTTTTAAGAATTGCTAATATAATTTCAATACTTCAAGAATTGACCATTTAAGAGAGGGTAATAATTTAGGGACTAAATTGATTGTTTATTCCAAAAAATCTATATATAAAAACATGAACAAAAGTATCTCTCAACTGAGGCATCAATCTTTCGTCCATAACAAATATGAATGTGCAGTGGAGCACGAGCTTTGCTCCAAAGCTTCAATTCGCAGCATCACGGCCTGCATATGTTGCTCCAGTCCATAGTATCACGGCCTGTATCTGTTGCTCCAAGATAGCAATCCTCTGCTCAGTTCTAGTGATCCTCTCCTCAAGTGTGACAGAGCCCGCTGAAGGAATTTGATTTTGAGACTCAGACAGAGAAGACATGCCACGCCACACGTTCGCAAATAAATCTGCAGTGTTGTAAACCTGTCCTTGCTTCTTACTGTCAGCAATATCCTGCCAGATGACATGCTTAGAGGACATACTTACCAACAAAGCTTTCTATCATCTATAATCTATATAATAATAATAATGATGACGACTACAATGTGTGAGAGATACCTTAAGAGTAAGAGATACCTTAAGAGATGCCTCTGTAAGCTTCTGAACTTGAAGATGCAAGGCAGCTTCACTCTTCTGCCATCCAGCTTCTTTCTTTTGCCAATCAGTGTCCTAAGAACATATTTAATACAATGTTTTAACCAAGAATAACAGCAATATAGCCTCATTCCAGAAAGCCCACACAAAGCCGAGCCAGGAAGAAAAGATAGCATATTTAATACAATGGCATCCTTACCTTACTTTCAAGGGCAATACACTTGGCCTCAAGTAACCGAATTCTCTGCCAACAGAAAAGGTGTAATCAGGCAAACTCTTTTGTTAAAAATGTCTTTCGGTTTTCACATAGAGTAAATTACATACACCCAAGTTTGTGAGAGACAAGAACCCTTTTATAGTACCTCCCTGTAAGGTCACAACGTAATGTTTTTAAACAATTAAGCTGTTAATGTAATGTTTAAGGAGTAATCATAGTTGTTGATCCCGGATAACAGCACGGCGGTCTCCAAAAGTGGGATAGCAGGACAGTGAAATGACCGCTATTCTAATAGATATTTATATATATAAAATAATTAATAATATATATAAGCTAAACACACAGAAGAAAAAAAAACTCAATTCATGCATTAATCATTTTCAATAATAAAAGTTCATAGCACCTAAACAAAACATGAATAAAAAGTCAAGAGTACAAGGTGCTTAAAGCTTTATATCATCTAAAGTTAAAGCCTAAAGTAATTAAAATACTAAAAAAGTAAACATTAAAATTCAATCTTCATCCTACTGACCACTGATGATATGGAGTATCAGTGTAATATTTTTCAAACAATTAAGGAGTTAGTGTGTCTAAAGAGTACGAGAGTAATGTTTTTCAAACAATTAATAAGTGTAGGAGAAGAAAAAGTAAAAGGTGTATATGTATTTTACTCTTTCACATATAATATGCAGATAAAACTGAACCAACCTTATGAGATTCTTCATCAACAGCCACAACTCGAGAGGCATATAATTTTCTCACATCCTTCATCGAACATTTCCTATTACATTGAGGGCACTAGAGCGAGGAAGAACACGCAAAAGATAAATATGAGGGATATTTTTATGGTTCAATACATAAATTTGGGAAAGTACATTATCAACCAAAAGCACTGAGTTCCCTTACATTGGCAGAACCTGCCCTACGTTGAAGCCATCTTTTGATGCAAGACATGCCATATATGTGTCCACAAGGAAGACAGCTGAACTCAAAAAATTAAAACAAATCACCACATTGTTCACACATACTCAACAGCAATTTAACAATAAACATATGGAATTAAAGAACAATTATAGAGAGAATGCAATTTAGGGTAAGGGGTTTGCGGTTGTACCAAATGTGGTGTTCGCCCTTATTGGTCCAAACATCCATGCAGATAGGGCAAACGAGACCATCAATCTCAGTGCGGTTCCACGCGTTGTCATCGGAACCAGAAGACTGGCCTTCTTCGGTTCTGCGGCGTTTCTTTCCCTCTGCGGCGCAATTGGGCGATTCATCGGGCATGACGATTGCTTCGTCGGATGGATCAGGAGTATGAGGCGCGTCGTGAGAAGCCGTGGGAGATGGCACATCGGTGATGTAGGGTTCTTCGTCGTCTTCGACGATTCCTTCGTCGCTTGAGATTTCACCTGCTGTGGCTGCAAGGAGGTGTGCGGCTTCAGTGTCGGAAAGGTCGTAGTGGTGTGGCTCAAACGGAGACGCCATTGCAGTGGGTGACGGAAGAAGAAAGAGAGGCAGAGTGAAGAGAGTAGCCCCAAACCTAAAAGCGACAGCCGAAGGGCGATCGTTTAAATGTGAAGAGGAAACAAATTCCGAGGAAGGAAGGGGTGACGAGGACCAACTCGTTTCTTGAACCCCGTATAGCCCAGTTTTGTTTTTTTATTTTTAAGATATAATATATGTTAAATATATTAGTATGTGATGTTCACTAATCTAAATTAATCCAAACTCATTCATAATTGATTCTATCCATATTAAACAAATTTGATTCATTTTGATAAAAAATTTAAATCCATCTATTTTATAAAATCAGTTCAGTTATTTGATTTATTTTTATAAAATAGATCGGTTTAATTTGATTTAGTTTTAAAAAAAATTTGATTCATATATAAGTAAAAAATAGATAACTATACTGTATTAAACTGATCCAATTTCAAAAAATTTAATCCATATTTTAAAAAAATCAAATCGATCCACTTTATAAAAAAATAGATCAGTTAACCGATCTATTTTTATAAAACGGTTCGTTTTTGTTCGATTTTAATTTTTCAAAAAACCGATTCATAAACACCCCTAACCAACATCTTACTCAAGGATATTAGAAGATGCATTAAGTAAGGAAGATCCATTAATAATACTTGAAGGTTAGCTTATTGTCCATGGTATATGGTGTTGAATTCAATTTTTATACCTATTATATAGTTGTTAAATTGTATTTTATTTGTAGGCAAATATTATCTTAAGGATGCGAGTTTCATGCTTAAACACCATATTATAACACCATATAGAGGTGTTCGTTATCACTTGAAGGATTATTTTGTTCATGACCCTCAAAATCCTAAATAATTATTTAACCTTCATCATTCTTCACTCATAAGTGTAATAGATAGAACACTATTTTTTTTATAAAAATATTTCAATTATAGCAAGTGGCACCAAACCTCAATATTCATTTGAAAGTATGACAAATATAGTAATTGCATGTTATGTCTTACATAATCTTTTGATTGATATCCTAGAAGTTTTCATGAGTTGTTTCAATATGAATATAGATCACAAACACAACATATCTTGATTATGGAAGATATTTTTTTCCACATAAAACACTCGATTATGGAAGATATTTTGTCACTAAAGAACAAATGAATACATATATTGATGATTTTTATGGAAAAGCATATGTGAAACCAAATTGATTTTTTTTAAGTAGAGGATTTCAATTTCAACACTATTTGTAATATCAGGTGCTTGAAATCTTTGTTTCACTTAGAGGATCATACTTTCCTAATTTAGTCAAGGTTTTCTGTGACAATTTTACCATCTCTAGTGTTAACATATAGTGCTTAGAAATTCAAAATGTCAAGGTTCGAGGGAGGCCACTTGATTGGTTAACAATTGTCAATGTGAGAATTATGACCGCAACATTGCATTAGCTGGAATGACAAGGTTAAGAACCTAAGGATTAAACTTAAGAAGCGCAACTAGTTTAGTAGTAGATGATAGATTGTTATATTATATTTTGGTTCATACATTAGTACCCTAACAAGGTAATTATGTATTATTTACTAGTGATGACATAATTCTTTTATGCGTTATGAAACAAAATTTTGCAATCAATTGACCTTATTACATATGTCAACATACGAAGAAATGCAAAGAAAAAAGTGATATGTACCTTCTATATGTTATATTTATTTAAAAAATACTAAAAATTCATGGCATGGATATGGTTGGAGACATTGAGATTATACCTACCTCGACTAATTATTTTAATCAACGTACCCTAAACAAATTGAATATGAATAATGTTAATGGAGTGTGGTAATATAATGATGAGCAATGACATATTGAAAAAGATGATGAAGATGAAGGTAACAATCAAAATTAAGATGTCTATCATGAGCCAAAGTCTTCCCAAGATAATGATATTTTACATTGTATTTATGTTGACATTCAAGGCTTACAAGATGGATTAGAAAATTTAGAAGTCATAGTTCAAGCTTTGAATGCAAAAATTGACACAAGGTTTGAAGAATTGGATTAAAGGATTACAACACTTGGAAGTTTATACTTGTACAAAATGTTTGAGTAACTTAATTATAATCTAAGTGTCTTTTATGTATCTCCATTTATATGATTGTGTTTATGTTTTTATTATGTGGTTAAGTACCAAATTAAACTTTACGCTTGCATTGTGAGTATGAACCTATTTTATACATTTTATTATTTATTTTAGTTAGACTTTATTAAATTATGTTTATGTTGTACATTAATATTATATTAATATTAATTTCAAAGATAATTATATACTAAAAATGGTTGTTTATCATTAATATGCTCCTCTTATGTTCACTTTTTCAAAGACAATTATGTCTTTATATTTGTAACCTTTTTTTTTTACTGATACATATCTAAGAATAAAATAAGAAAATAATTTATATACAAAATAAAAACTAATAAAGAAGTATAATTACCATAGTTTTAAAAATCGGACCGGTCATCAAACCAGTTAGGGTACTAGGTCAGTGGGTCAAAGGTTGAACCGGTGGGTCATTAATTGAACTGCATGACTTGATTTTTATTAATTTTTTTATAAAAATATTTATATTAAATATATTTTATACTTATAAATTTCAATAAATTCATATCTTATTTTAAATTTCAGTTTTCATCTTATTTAAAATTATCTTTATTTTTATTTTATATAAAGAAATACATAAAAAAATTACATATTAAATTGTATAATAATATAAATTAAAAATATATATAATATGCTTACAATTTATATTACAAAACAATATATATAATATCTACATAGATATTATATTATTAAATATATAATTTAGAATTAATAATATATTATAAAAATTATTTAAGTTGCATATATTATAGACAAATATATTAGAATGAGTAGTTATTCTTATGCTTAATAAGACTCTTTACTCTTCCATTAACAAATTTAATTCTCATTGTTATTTTTGTGGTTTGTGGTCCTTTAAAAAACTTTTTTTAAAAAAATTTTGGGGTTGAACTGGTTTGACCCACCGGTTCACTGGTCGAACAAAAAAATTGACTGGTTCAATCCAGTTTAAAGCGGGTCGAATACATGATCGATCCAACTTAAGATTCGGACCAGCTGGACTACCGGTTCCTGGTTCAACCGGTCCGATCCGGGTTTTTAAATACCGATAATTACCCATTTTTTTAAAAAAGTTTATTTTTCATGAAAGCACCGATTGCTACTTATAATTAATAATTAAAATTAATTATAAACAACATGTTAATCGAAACAATGTCATTGGAAAGTTATAAAAAGTGATTTTATTCAAATAAATAAGTTATTTATTCAAATAAAAAATATTTCTAAATAAAATGTTTATTTGAATAAAATTATATTTCAAAAGTGATTTTATTTAAATAGATATGTTGTTTATTTGAATAAACAACACGTTTTGAATGAACATATAATTTTACTAAAAGGTGAAATTATAATTTTATTGCCAATTATAATCGGTATCATCTTTTTTTTTTTATTATTCAAATGAAACAATTCTATAATATTATTTTTCTTAATTTTTTTTCAAATAAAATTCACTTTATTTTTTTATTTGTTTTTCTCTCTCCTTTATTTTTCGCTTAATTTTTTTTTTTCTGAACAATCGAACACAACGAAGAAGTTGCATTGTAGAATGCGTCAACACGAATTTGTTTGGGCCATTTAACGTAGAGCATTGATGCACTCTTTTTGATATTTTTTTATTCATTAAAAATTATACAAAATTATGAATATAAAAAATTACAATGACGGATTTTATTAAACAATTAAGAAATGATATAAACTAAATTTTATGATTTATAAACCATGCCAAACAATGAATAAGTTTTTTTTTATTTTTTATTTTTTTTATATGGATTCCAACGCAAGAAAAATTCCTCTGGACACAATTTTGTGCGTTGCATCTCAATAATTTATTTGGATTTAATGAAGCGAGTTAAATTGAAAAAGGGAAATAATTAGGGGATGGAGGTGCAGTTAAATTAAAAATGAGAAGAGTTGAGAGCAGATACGATTTGATGGCTCGTAGTGTATCGTACATTACTGGGTCGCAGCTTCTCTCTCTCAGACGCCATCCAAGCATCGCCATCGTTGATGTCAGGTAAGACTTGAGAGTTTAGAGTTTAGAGTTTAGAGTTCATCTTTCGATAATGGACGTTGTTGAATGCTAATTAGTGTTTGTGTGTTCTCAAGGGACGATGAGAGGAGTTACGACGGCCACATATCCGGCTCTCTTCATTACGCAAGCGACTCTTTCTCCGATAACATCTCAAATCTCATTCAAGCAGTTAAAGGCAAAGACACTCTCGTCTTCCACTGCGCTCTAAGTCAGGTTCCCATTATTTCCACTCTCTCAACCCCGATCTACTTTTTTAGGAATCTCATTTTCTTTTTCATTTACCACCATATTCTATTGCATCTATCATAGCCAAAAACCTTAGGAGGGAGTGGAGTATAGGCAATTAGGCACAAATCACAAATATGTTAATTTCTGTTGTGAGAATCTCATTCTAGTGAGAGGTATTCTTGTTCATTTTGGACTTTTCTTTGCCAGGTATGTATCTGTTCCGTTGTGTCCGTAAATATGGGTAAACTAATTGGTACAAGTTTTTCATTATTAGCTTCTTCAAAATCTTATTTTTAATTAATTTAATAAAATAGTTTTAGCTTATGTTGAAACTATTTTTAATTTTTCTTCCTATTAAGTGTTTCTGAAGAATTTTATCCAATCAAACCGATAGACTTTTAGTTATCTTTTCAATTTCAAGTTTATAACGAAATTTGCTTGTTTGTTGTAGTCAAACACAGAGAGAGAGATTGTTAGGGGCCACCATATAGATATGGAACAGTTAATTGATTATAGGAAGGATAGTCTGAGAATATGTCAAGTGTATTACAGGAGAAAGAAGAAAGATAAGAGAGTTAGTCAGTTATGATGAGCTGGCAATTGTTACTAGTAGCCAGTGGGAATTGTTGAGGGCTGGCTGACCAAACAAATAGGTAAGCTGTAAAGAGAAGAGGGGGAGAAAAATTGTTGTAAGGCAGAGAGATAATCTCTGAAGGAGCCCTGGGCTCTGGTTCTTTGAAAGAGTTGTTGATAGTGAATGACACTCTTTTCTTCCTTCTTGCAATTCTTTGGTTGGCGTCAATCTTCTGTTCTTTTCTTTTTGATGGTTGGTTCCTAACTGTGTTGCTTGTTTGATGCAAAGGAAGAGTTTAACAATAGGAAAGGGAGTTGGCTAAAAGAAAGCCAATAATGAGGAAAGGCAACTGCAGTTGTTCGAGTCTTTGAGGGAATAAAAACTCAGTTTTTTTCGTAGGAAAGAGAAATAAGGAATGAAGTTTGTTGATATTGTCTTTTGACTGTTTTTATCATCTTCAACTGGTGATTTGGTGTTGGCAAAGTGTGACATTTATTATTCTGTATCAGATTCATTTTCCTTTTCTAGGATGATCTTGTCATTTAGAAGTCCAAATTCTGCATGATTGATTGATCAGCTTCTTATACGCATACACTGACTGACTTGAATTGTTTTTTGTCTTTCCATTGCTAGTGTCTTTTCAGAATGTGGTTAGTTGATTGGTGTCGTAGTGATATCAATGCCTGACACATTTGATATTCAACTTATGTTATGATTCAAATTCTGCATTTGAGTTGGTTCCAAGATACAATGGAATGTTATATCTCAAAACCTTAAAAAACTCAACTTGACATGTCAGAAACTAGTTTCTACTAATTATGGGGACATGTGTCTTCCTACACACTTTTTCTATAATACCAGAAATTGTCTCTCTAAACTGAAAGTGGCATAAACTATTTTGCAGGTTCGTGGCCCAACTTGTGCTAGGAGGCTCGTCAATTATCTTGAGGAGAACAAGGAAGATACTGGGATAAAGAACATTATGGTCTTGGAACGTGGCTTCAATGGGTGGGAAGCTTCTGGTAGACCTGTTTGCCGCTGCACTAACATTCCTTGCAAAGGAGAGTGAGAGCCTTGGTCAAAGACGTCTTTGTGGTTGGATGGAATCACGGAGGCATATCGTCTATCTTATATATGCACACATTTGTATACAAAATGTCTAAAGCAGTAGGATGACCACTATGATTCCATCATTATATCTAGGTAAAACCCAAGATGTCATAGATAAACTAAATACTGTGTTTCTGTTTTGGCCATCACTTAATAATGTTGTAAGAAATCCTTCGATGGAGACCGCCTAGAATAACAAAGGTACTCTTTTTTTCTTTCTGATCTTTCCGTATGTATTACATAACACAATTTGATCAAATATGGTTGAGGTTCTGCTTTGACTAGTTTCATGGGATAGTCCTAGGGAAGACTAGCATTTTGGAGACTTGGGATTTCCCTGAAACTCAAAATTGTCTCTAACAAGCTTGCTAAAATGGAAATGGATATGTGCAATAGCCATATCAGTGAATCTCAAGGTTGAGGCGTCATGGGGCCAACATTTTTAGCCTTTGATATGCTATGAAATTTTGCTTGTGTTCAATGTGACAGCAAAACAATCTTCAAAGCCACATATAATCCTTGACTACTTTATCTTTGGTAATAATGTCATCAAAATCATAACTCCCTCCCTATGTTGGTCCTTTGTCTCATGCTATTTTGGAGGTGCTTCCGAAATGCTCGTGTACCTCTGGCTCTTTAATGCTAAAAACACAATGACAATCCAAGCGACCTAAACAAGATGTAAAACGGATTCCAAGAGTCATTATTGTCATATATCATAGCCTATATCTGGTCTTCTTTAACGTGACATAAAATATACTAATAGTCGTTGCATCGGCAGGAATAACAAGTTGAAGACGTTTGCTGTTGCGTTGTTCGAAAGCCGAAATGTGACCCAGAAGGTCCAATATTTTAAGGGTGTAAACAACATTACCTTGATAAATTAAAGTATTTTGGTAGAGTTTCTTCCACCATTAGGTTATCCGCTTTACATTCACATAGTTTTTCTCTACACATTTCAATTACCCTCTTGTGCCATATTAGTTATTCAATATGAGTATAGAGATACAATTTTAAGAACTATTAAATAAAGTGAAAAAATGTTTATAATATTAATTTGATCTAACAAAAATTAAGAAGTTAAAATTCTATTTTGTTTGTTCATCGGTTTCAAAAGTCCATCATGCTTCTAATCAATTAGTTGATACAAGTGCAAAGTCGTGACATGAAAAAAGTCAAATAAAAAACTAATTATTATTAGTTTAAAAATTGATAGTTCCAAAAATCTATCAAATTTAGGTGAACATTGCAGAATTTCTCATATTTTAAAACATAAATTCATCTTAAATACCTAGAGTAATTTTTGTTTTCTAAAATGGCAATTCAGTGATATACACTTGTTTATTATCCACCGGAAAGAAATTAATCGATTAGTAAAAGAGGAATGGATAGAATGAAAAATTATGGCAAGAAGATGAAGAATATGAAAAATTTATGAGTCCTATTAGTCCAGTTAAATTAATACTTTATTATTTATCATTTACGAGTTGATCAACGGTGGCCTATTAGCTCAGTTGGTTAGAGCGTCGTGCTAATAACGCGAAGGTCGCAGGTTCGAGACCTGCATGGGCCATTTTCATTATTTTGCTTTATTTTATTTTTTCGTTTTCGTTTAGTTATCATTCTTTGATCTCGAAGATGGGTGAAGATAGATAAGAATGTACAACATAAACTTAAAATTGACATGTGATGGATGTCAAGTAGGGCTGCCACTCAGGAATTGAAAAGTATGATTAAGTTCAAATCCCATTTTGTGGTCTATCACAATTTCTATTGTTGTTGTTATAGAAACATAATCCATGTTAACAAAAAGGTTCTATTCCAAACTCCAAAGTATTTTCTAGTTTGAAAATGAAAGACTATTCCTGTATGAAGATAATAAAGTCAATTATGAATTATGCATTGATTGTTTATAAAGACTATTCCTGTACAATTTCTATGCTTTGGTAAACTCTTTACGTGAAAAACGGCATAAGACGGCACTGCCATTATTTATAAATACCCCATCTTATTCTCATGCTTTGTGTATGTTTGATTTTATCTGCCACATAAGTTGTATAGGAAAATAAAAGGTTGAAAATTGTATTTGGTGCCCCATGAGAATAGTAACTTTTATTATTACCAACTACTATTGAAGAAAATAAAACCATTTTTTTTTTGGAAAGACATGAAAGTGAGGCCCGTTGGGCCTTCCTATTCATTTCTTCAAGCCCATGTTCAACGTTCACTTTTCAGCTGCCAGTACTCTTATGTAGGGTTACATCTGATATAGTTACCCTACAGTTATGATACTCATCCCAAATACTATGAGTGCACGATTAATAAATTTAAATTAAATTATGTTTTTATGATTGATTTCTTTACTTGGCTGCCAAGAAATCTAAGATTGTATAAACATCAAGTTACGAGTTGCGCAAATAATCATATGTCATATATTTGATTGTTTATTTTCTGTCATCCATCTTTCATCGAGTCAATATTATATATAATTATTTATTTATTTATTTATTTATTTATTATTCTGCACTATACATCCCATCAACACCAGTTTGGGATTTCTTCAACACATGTTTAATTATTTAATTAGAATTCTGCATTATCTTCACCGCCTTCAGGATTTATATATTGACTATTGTCTTTGAAAGTCAAATAAAATTATTCTAATGTATCATACATATATACTGTAAATGTGCTACGGAGAACATATAATTTACTGTCATGTTACACATGATCTTTTAAAACTAATAGAGAGGATAATAATATATCAATTTAGGGATTAAACCAATGAATATTTAATAAAATAAATAAAAAGGGGGGGGGGGGAATAGTTTGAGGAGAAAATTAATAGTATATTGTTATAAAATCATTTTCTCTCTTCCTCGAATGAAGGATACTAGGGAAGGATAGTGATAAGTGATTTAAATTCAATCATATTTTTTAAGTTTAAATTAAATTAAAAGTATTTATTAAAATAAAATGATAATTTTCATGTATTCTTTCTTAAGATTCACTCTTTAATATTCCCATAACCTTTGGATTTTGTTTCAACTTTCGAAACAGGTTTTGAAAATTGTCAAAGGATGGTCTCGTGGGTTTTAATATTTACATGTTGGTCCCAAAGTTTAAATATAAAAATGTGGAAATGTGAGAATAATAGGGTGGGAGAAGCATAAAATATAAGAAAAATGATATCCTTGGTTATTGCAATAAAAGTGAGTGAAGGTGAACGATTTGACTGAAAATGCATGGAAGAAGAGACAAGTTACATGAGTTGGCGACAAAAAGAAAGGAGGGAATTAAAGTTTGGCGTACCAAGAAAGTTGATGGCCCTCATGTAATAATAAATACTAAAAATATAAATTTATTAGTGGACAAATGTGCCGTAGCAGGTTAGGAAAGTTCGGGGCTATCTGCTATCACCATAAATATGATTATTATTTACATGATTTTTAAGATTGTTTTACTCATCATATTAATATCAATTATCTATTTTTAGAAATAGATTTTGTTTAAATATTATTTTATAATAAGAAATTAGATGAAAAAAATTAATATTTCTAACATCAAATTTTGTAAATGTATTGTCTTGATAGAAGCAAGCGATGTCTAGATAGGAACTTGAGGCATAATATATGATAATGGTATGATTGAAGTGGAAAAGTTATAGAATCATTTAAATTATTATTAAGAGTAGATTCCAATGTGTCATTTAAATTAATGTGGATAAGCGCAAAGAGAATGCACCCATTCCCCGTTTGGAGGAAACTTAAAAGAAACACCGAGCCTTGTCCTTATATGCTTTCTCGTCTTCATTCACACTCACACTCCCATTCTCCTCCACTTGAAATAATTATTTTTAATTCTAAAGGACCTTTATCTAAAATGTTCCTTATCAATACAATAATTATTTTAAATGTGTTTATTTAATATTATTTGTTTAATTCTTAATTTTTAAATATATTAAAATAAAAATTAATGTTACAAAAGGTTTAATTTATTTTTATCTAGTATCATTCGCATGACATTTTTATTTCATTTTAAATTATAATAAGCAAATAATTAAGTAAATTTTAATGCAGTTGAAGTTCTAAGGAACTTTTATTCGGATCTTAAACTAAAATATTGCAATTAGGTCATTATTTAATCATTCTTTATAGTAAAATCTTTAAAAGTTAATTTTTTATTCATTATTGAGGAATATTTAAATCGAATACAAAATATTAATCTTTTAAAATAGTTTATGATAGTTTAAAAATTGCTAAAAAAAAATAAAAATTTGTGATAATTTTATTAATTTTATAGATCTAACTTTTAAAATATAAAAATCAATGACCCAAATAATTTTTTTTATTTAGAGGTTTAATTAAAAAAAAAATCAAAAAGTCAAGGAACCATTGATGCGTTATATCGTTGATAAATTAAAATGTTTCTTTATTCTTTCAATGGGTTTATTTAAATTTTTCAACATGTCATGTTTTATACTTAATGTTCATTTTCTTAAAATATTTATAAAATATTAAAGTCTTATGAGTTAAAATGCTAATTATTTCTATTTGTGAGCACTAAAATGTAATTTATTATAATAATAATAATAAATTACAGCTTATTTTAATAATGTCTATTTTTTTTTTCAATTTTTCATAACTATATTTATTATGTTTTATAAATTTATACATTTTTAATTAAAATATTTTAAAGTACATTAATTTTTATATTATCATTCAATCTAAAATTATTATACAAGATAAATTTATTAATTTTATTATAAGTATTAAAAAAGCTTAAGAATAATTTATCGTTAAATAATTTGAAGAAAAATCTTATAAGAAAAACAGCTTGTATTTATCTCGTTTTAAAGAGATGAGTAAGAATTCGAATTTTCCAAATGTCAAAATTTTAACAAAAATCATGGCACGACTTAAAGTAAACAATGTAAAAATAAATATTATCTTATAAAATTGATAAATAAGATAAAATGATGATAAAATATAATTTAGTATATATATTATTAATTAAACATTAATTATTTCATTATTTATTTAATATTAAAATAATACTAAGTTACGATTTTAACAACATCAAAATAAAATTATAAATTTTATAAAATTAAAAGCTATAAAATAACTAAAATCATGATAATTGCAAACAAATGTAGTATGGTAAGAGGCAAAGGTATTTTACTTACTTTAAAATAATTTCACTAATTAATTTGAGCAAGAAATATGATTTCACTTAATTTAAAATGATTAATTTTCATTAATTTTTTTTTAAAAATAACTATATT